TGACTGCTAACCAGAAGGCTGGTGGTTCAAATCCACCAGCCACTCCTCGGAAGGAAGATGGGGCAATCTACTTCCGTAGTGATACTGCCTTGGAAATCCAAGGAGGGGTGGCTATGAGTCCACTCTGACTCGACGGCACATAACAACAACAACATACTATATATACAGCTATGTGATAGTTAAGGTTGTGTTTCAACTTGGCTGGACCATGATTCTGAGTGGTTTAAGCAGTTGTGGTGTGGCTGTTCCCATGATGAGATCTGATGTGTATACTTTGATCAGCCATCAACTGAAATTGAAAGGGAGTTTCCTTAGGGGTATGGTCTGCTTCATGTGTGTGTGTGTGTGTGTGTGTGTGTGTGTGTGTATGGACCTTCTGGGAAAATTTGGGAACCTTCTGTGGATTTGGAGCCTATCGTGCTGTCCTGTGAGCCAACAACCCACCATTTTGCCTGCTGATCTTGGATTAGCCACCCACAAAAGTCAGCAGCCTATGTTATATTGCCTTCCAATCTTGAACTCGTCAGCCCCTGAAGCTGCGTGAGTCAGGAAAAGCCTCCAGCTTGATTTTGATCCAGGAACTTGGGACCTGCCAGCCTTTATAACTATGTGAGCCATTTTCCTGAGATAAATTTCTCTCTCTCTCTCCCCCTATATATATATAGGTATATGTGTGTGTATATATATACATATATATACACACATATGTAACATTTACTTGTTTTGCTTTTCTGAGACTCAGCCTAAGACAAGCTATTAAGAAATTTTAATAAAAGTATGCTGTGGAAACATAGGAAAGCAAATACTACATAATGGCAAATGAAGAAAAGTAACATAAAATCATAAACATAACCAATATAAATTACATTAATCTAACTCATGGTGACCCAAGTGTATAGAGTAGAACTATGTTCCACAGAATTATCAATGGCTGATTTTTCAAAAGCAGACTGCCAGGTCTTTCTTCCAAGGTACCTCTGGGTAGCCACAAACTGCCAACCTTTCAGTTAGCAACTCAGAGCTTAACTATGCCATCCATGGCCTCCTACATACATATACACATGGATTAAGAACTAAAAAGGAATTTGAAAAAAATTACACTAATTTTCTGGGTTTAGATTTAGGAGATTTCAAGATTTGTTGCTGTTGCTTACACTTTTTTAAAAGATATTTTAAGGTTGATTTCATATAAAATAGTAACACTAAGTTATTAAACAGTTTGTAATTGAAAAAAACCACAAACATCACAGGACACCGTAATCCAAATCAAACAACTGCACATGAAAGGTATCTATAAATTAGCTGTTAGTTTTCTGAAAAATGGTATTACAAAAAGCACTGTTAAAAAGCCTACACAAAAGCAACTGCAGAATAAATAAATATATGTGTATGTGTATGTATATGCACAACTACACACATACACACATTTAATCACGAATTACCTTCTGTAGGAGGGACAATGCCAGAAAAACGCACTGTTGCATGTTCTCCATTAACTTCAACTCTTCGACCAATGGCATCTAATGTCAAAGTGGCACTCATTATAATATAGCCAGAATCCAAAATATAAGAAGATCTAGGAAGAAAATTACAACATTGACAAGAATTTAATAAAATCCGTTTAAAAGATTTTTTTTTTAACTTCACATAGAGATTCACAAGGACGATGTTCATTACCAATATAGTCTTCTGATATTTTAGTGAAGAGAAGAACCTAATGATTATGTATCACATTTTCCTATCTAAATGTATTTTAATGATCTGGTATATTATAAATCTTCTTGACCTCCAGTTAGCTCACATCACATGACTCATCTATTCTGCCATTTACTGAAATGAGTGGCAAGGAAAGTGGAATAGAAGGGAAGGGAATAAAACTGAGAGAGAAAAGAGAGAACAAAGGAACAATATGAGCATTGTTCTCTCCTCAGAAAGTGAGAATTTGTGGAAAACAGAAATCTCCAGATGTAGGAAGCAACACATAAAATGAACAAGAAATTAAAATTTTAACACTAGTGAAAATACAGAACTCTAATAAAGAGAAGGTCATAAAACGAACTAGAGAGAAAAGGTATTATATCTAAATAGGAATGACAACTAGATTCAACTGCCAGATTCAACTGCCCTGCCACAGAGGACAGAAGAATATGTTAAATGACACAACCAGAATATGGTCCACCAAATTATAGACTATGGGAAACTACAGGATAAACAAGTTGGGTTCCTCTACAAATTAAAAGGAGAAAAAAGAAAGAAGAGGAACAAGAATAAGAGATTAAAAGAAACTTAAGAGATAAGCAAAATACGGACTTTGCCTGAATCCTAATTCAAAAAAATACTACATAATTTTAAAAAAGGAAATTGAAAAATTTGAACACTAACAGGATATTTGGGAGTTCTAGCAGCGTAGTGCCTAAGGCATCTGACTGCTAACCAGAAGGCTGGCGATTCAAACTCACCAGCCACTCCTCGGAAGGAAGGTTGGTCAATCTACATCCTTAGTGATAGATACCACCTTGGAAACGCAAGGAGGGGTTGCTATGAGTCGGGTCTGACTCAACAGAAAACAACAACAGGATATTTAATGATATTAAAGAATAATTTAAATTTTTAGCCATGGTAATGTTATGATTATGATTTTTTAAATGATGATCTTTTAGAAATATGTAGTATATATTTATAGATTTTTTTTTAATTTTATTCTGATTTGGGTGAAAGTTTAGAGTAAATTCATTTTCCATACAGCAGCTCACATAAACTGTCTCATGACATTGACTGCAATTTCCCAAAATGCAACAGTTCCCCTCCCACTTCCTCCCCATAGTTACCTCTTCCCTGTGTCCTTCCCTCCCATGCACTCCTGTCCCCCGAGCTGTCTCCCTGTGCATACACAGCCCTTCTATTCTCCCACGACTGTTCTCTCCAAGGAGTGTATCTACCTAATGGAAATGTTTAGCTCATATGCCTGTCTTTTGTTTGGCTGGAAGCCACAGGAGTAGGTTCAGTTCCAGACCTGACCGGAAGCCAGGGGCCACAGTCTCAGAGGTTTTACCAGGCTCTATCAGACCAGAAACCTGGTCTTTTTTTTTTTGAGTTTTGTTCCACATTGTTCTCCCACTCGATGCAGGATTTCCTACATAGATCCCCTTCCAAGTGGTTGACAGTGGTAGCCAGGCCCATCTAGTTCTTCTGGTATCATAGTCGAAATAGGATGATGTGATACCAGTCACTTGGACTAATTGTTTCCATGTGTCTTTGGTTTTCTTCATTCTTCTTTGCTCTGGACAAGAGCCTGTCACTGCATCTAGATGGTTGCTTGCAAGCTTTTAAGATCTCAGTCACTACTTGCCAAAGTAGGATATAGAACAATGTTTTTGTGTAGTATGTTATGCCAATTAAGCTTGATGTCCCCTGCAACCATGGTCCCGAGCCCACAGGTCCAACTACCTGCTCCCTCTGGATAGCTGGCTGTGCCCAAGAAGTGACTACAACCTTGTCCCTTGTCAGTTCTACTATATACCTATAAATTCTTACAGAACATATAAATACACTTGTAGAAACATTGCCTGCCAACCCTATACATGGTCATGGGCACACTCCCCCCTGCCCAGACATACCTAATTGTTCAGCCTCTCCACCCATCTATCCACCTGTATATCAATGTTTGCCATCACTGACAATGCAAAACAGTTCATCTTCGTTGTCTGTGTCTCCCATGAACCTCTCTCTCTCTTCCTCAATGTCACCATGTTGATCACTCACATTTGATACATTACCCTTCCCTTCAACCCAAACCAGTATTTGTCTCTACCTATCTAGCAGTGTCCCTCGCCTCCCCACCCTGGCAACCGACAGAGAACATTTCATTCCATATATAAACTTTTCCTTGACTTTTTATAATAACAAACTAATACAATATTTCTCCTTCTGTGATTGACTTATTTCACTCAGCATAACGTCCTCCAGATTCATCCATGTTATGCGTTTTGTGGATTCTACATTATTCTTTAGGGTTGCGTAGTATTCTACTGTGTCTATGTATCATAGTTTGGTTATCCATTCTTCTGTTGATGGGCACCTAGGTTGTTTTCATCTTTTTGCTATTGTAAACAAACATTTACAAATTTTTTTTAATAGTGTATTAGATATATTATTCTAGTGGCAGTATATAGGATACACTGAAAGGAAGAAAGCAGCAGAGCGAGCAGTTAGGAAAATATTGCTGTGATCCAGGTGAAAATAAGAGAGCCTGAGCCAAAGCAATGCTTCTATCCATTCATTCAACACATATTCACTACCACCTACTTACTATATACTGTTGTTGTTGTTGTTATTTGCCGTCGAGTCGGCCCCGACTCATAGCGACCCCTCCTTGGGTTTCCGAGGCAGTATCACTACGGAAGTAGGATTGCCCAACCTTCCTTCCGAGGAGTGGCTGGTGGGTTTGAACCGCCAGCCTTCTGGTGAGCAGTCAAGTGCCTTAGGCATTATGCTACCAGAGCTCCCTACTATATACTACTAGATCTTATATAGTTATAAATACTAGATCTTATATAGTTATAAACCACACGTGTATGAGACCTGCCTCAGAAGCTTACAGCCCAGTGGCAGTTATAACTCATAATGAAGGCTGTAAATCTTTATGGAAGCTGATTGCCCACATCTTTCTCCTGTGAAGCAACTGGTGGGTCTGAACTGCTGACCTTTTAGTTAGCAGCCAAGTACTTAACCACTGCACCACCAGGACTCCTTTTAGAGAAAATTAAGAGCTAGAATCAACAGGGTCTGGTACAGGGCTTCAAACAAGTGTTTTCCTAGTTCAGTCATGACCAATGAAGTGAAACCAAAACAGACCTAAATTTGTAAAATGTAGGTGAATGGGATGATAACTGCAACAGGAAAAATTATCAACTTAATTTCCCTCCTAGGAAACAAGGGCAATGTGAGCACTGCACAGCCACCAAATCTCTGGACTGGCACAGTGGGAAAATGGTGGTGCCTGGCTCAAAGATGGCAAGCCACCACATTGCCTGGAATGTGTGTTGCTCTCCATAGTCCTGGCAATAATTTAGTCTCCCACATCAAGCTCCTGGAAGGGCTAACTACCCCTCTTCTAAGTGTCCTATTCCAGGGCTCTGACTCTTAATTTTTACCTTTCCAGTTGTCACTCCACCCTAATTTTTAAAATTTGGGTCTGTTCTGATTTCACTTCATCAGCCATGACTGAACCAGTATGAACTGGTTCAAAGCCCTGGTGTTGTGATTAACTGGATAGAAATTATTTTAAAAATACAAGACTAGAAAGAAGCCCAATTTTTTTATTATTTTTATTGTGATTTGGGTGAAAGTTTACGGAGCAAATTCATTTTTCACACAGCAGTTCACATACACTTTGTCTCATGACATGGACTGCAATTTCCCAAAATGCAACAAAAAGCCCAACTTTTTGACTCAAGTAGTTTGTGCTACCAAATACTAAAATGATTAATAAAATAGGAGTTTTAACCTTGAGAGGGAAGACCATGAGTTTGAGATGCCTACTGAATTTGTCATGATGGTCGTGTGTTTAGTTCAAATGACATGTTTGAAATGTGTTTGAGAGTCATCAGCACATAGTTTTATAACCGATACTATGAGAGTGGATGAAAAGAAAAGAATCAATAAGAGAATCTTGGGAAAAAATAAAATAATTAAAAGAGACAAGGAAGAAATCCCTAAGAAGGAGTTGGAGGAGGAATATTCCTAAGAAGAAGTCAGAGGAGGAAAAGGTAGAAGTATCTATTGAAAAAAAACTCACTGCTATCAAGTGGGACAGCAATCCCTCCTTGGGTTTCTGAAGCAGTATCACTATGGAAGTAGACTGCCCAATCTTCCTTCCAAGGAGTAGCTGGTAGGTTTGATTTGCCAGCCTTCTGGTTAGCAATTAAATGCCTTAGGCACTACGCCACAGACTTCTCAGAAGAGTCTATACCAACCAAAAACCAAACTCACAGCTCTCAAGTCAGACACAACTCATAGCAACCCCTCTTTGGGTTTCCAAGACCATATCACTATGGAATTAGATTGTCCAGTCTTTGGTACAGGTAAATATAAATATGTGGGTGCAGGTATATATATCCCTTAAAGACATAAATATGGATACTCCTCAAACATAACCAAACACCTTCCAACATTAGTCTTCTGGGTTTCAAAGCTTAGGACCATAGTCTTATGGAACGACTCAGTCAATTGGCATAACACAGTTCACAAAAATCATGATCTGTATCCTAGAGAAATGAGGAGTATTAGGGATCTTAAAAGCTTGTAAATGGCCATCTAGATACAACAATGGGTCTCTTCACATCCAAAGCAAAGAAGAAGGAAGAAAATCAAAGATGCATGGAAGCAATTAGCCCAAGAAACGGGTACAACATGTGATCCTCAGCCTATACAACTGTGAGAGCAGAAGAACTAGATGGTGCCTGGCTATCACCGTCAACCACCTGGAAGGGGATCTATGTAGATCCTGGACAGAGTGGGAGAATAATGCAGAATAAAACTCA